AATAACCAAATAAAACTGAACTATTTTAATCAAAATTTAGAAATTAATCCCCTACAAAATTCCTGTTGATTATTTGCAGATTTTGAGAAAATACAAAGATATTTCTTTGAAAAAATATAGTTAAAGACTTAGGGCATGTTTGGGTTGGATTTAAATCCGATTATAATCTAAGTCAAAGTCAAACAATCAATATTAACCACATCCTTCATGGGTCTCACATATTTTCAACCACACATTTCAAAAATTTATAGTACAATGCACTAAAAATCTAATTTTAATCCCCACCAAACACCCTCTTAAAGTGTCGTTGATTGTATACAGAAATTTCTTAACTTTAAATCTCATTTGCTGTCACTTAACTTTCAGAAAAATCTCAATTGGGTCCTTATTTTTTAATTTTTTAAACTAAAATGTAAGTTGAATGATCAAATTGAGATAATATTAAAGTTTAGGATTTATATTTTCTTTATATTCTTATTCAACCGCATGCAACTTTGCAAGTACTATAGTTTACGCGTCGTTTTGAATAAAAAAATCCAAAAAATTATAGATATCCAAACACGAACCCTAAAATTATATAATATTGGATGTCGTGTGATTTATCAATTTCAAAAGCATGTGTGAGATTTCTAATCGGGATTTTTCAAAATGGGACATGTTTATTTAGCTTGGACAGTCTTTCGACTAGTTCGGTTCATGAACTTACCAATATTGTAGGTCAATATTTGTCCACCATGTTGCCCAATGACTCTTTCTAAGCTTTGTGTCGAGTTTTTCTCAATTAATTAGGTGGATTGGATTGGTCATTATAGAAGTTTGAGTTGGATTATCGAGCACGATCAACTAATAAACCTCATAATGGACCATTCCAGCTTTGACCCGAACCTTTTTGACACCACCAGGCAGATTCCCGAGGGGAAAGGGAAATGTCAGTTAATGGCGCCAATTTTAAAGGCATTGGTTAATTAATGCCTAAACAAGAGAATCATCCCATTTGATACGTTATTTTTCCTCACCATTCATATCTAAGCAACCCTTTCTGTCCCAACATTTGAATCTTTCATCAGAATCTCATAATCCACATTTATTCAAAATAACCACAAATCAAAATCAATCTTTTTGTCCAAATGGACAGAAATTATTGGCCTTTTGGCTCTCTGTCCATCCTTGTTCCATGGACGAAAACAAGGTATGTTACAAATCCTTAAATCTTCGTAACGATAAAATTTTCGGTACATCGAATGCGTATGCTGATATAATATTTTCATGTTTATGCATAATCTGATATATTTTTAGGAGTGAAACAATGAACCTATTGATGAAGAAAGAAGAAAATTTCTGGGTCAAATGGTACGATTCCTTTGTTACCCCAGAATGAAACCGGGATCTCATAGGTCATTGTTAGGTGCATTCGAAGATCAATTTCCTAAAAAGGGGCTTGTTTATTTAGATATGAACTGTAATACCAACATTTTCTTTTGGACAATTATATGTTCTTGTAGTACCGCTGATGCCAATGGCAGGAAATGGATTTCAGATACTGAATTCCTTAATGCCTCCGAGAAAACAACCTCAGCCACTGCTCAATCTCAAGATCCTTCTTTGCTTTCCCCTGTTCCGTATATGCGTGCAAGAATTTTTCATTCCAAATCCTCGTATAAATTCTCTATTTCTCCCACGAAACGACACTGGATTAGGCTTCACTTTTATCCCTCCTACAATAGTTTGAACTGTTTCGATTCATTTTTCTCAGTGACTATTGATGGCTTCACTCTTCTTAACAATTTTAGTGCATCAATCACGGCGCAAGCACTTACAAATGCTTATATTGTAAGGGAATTCACGTTGATTCCGATAACATCTGGTGCTCTCAGTCTCACATTTACTTCATCAATATTAAGATTTGGGGGTCCATCTTAAAAGGTCAACCTTATTAAGAGGAATAGCCCAAAATCTTTATTAATTGGTCCGTGTCTACATCACTATTCGATGTGGGATATATATCCTTAACACGCCCCCCCAAGATGGTGGCTTGTTTGAGCAGACCAATCTTGAAATCCACGTGCTCACTTTTTGGAATCTTATCGGGATTGAATCGCTCGTTGGAGCATAATGGGCTCTGATACCATATCAAGATTTGGGGGTCCATCTTAAAAGGTCAACCTTATTAAGAGGAGTAACCCAGGATATTTATTAATTGGTCTGTGTTTATATCATTATTCGATGTGGGATTTATATCCCTTAACACGCCCCCACAAGATGGTGGCTCATTTGAGCAGACCAATCTTGAAAATTCACGTGCTCACTTTTTGGAATCTTATCGGGATCGAATCGCTCGTTGGAGCATAATGGGCTGTGATACCTTGTTAAGATTTGGGGGTCCATCTTAAAAGGTCAACCTTATTAAGAGGAGTAGCCCAGGATATTTATTAATTGGTCTGTGTTTACATCATTATTCGATGTGGGATTTATATCCCTTAACAATCAACCAGTTACGAGAACTCTTTTGCTTTTACCAATGGAATTGAGATAATTTCAATCCCTGAGATTTTTGGAGCTGTGCCTTACGTAGGATTTTCAGATATTTCGATGGATTCTGAATACTAGTCTTCCTAAAGAACAAGTTAGTGTTAAATGAAAAAATATAATATAGAAGAAGATGGAGAAGAGAAAGAGAGCAAGAGACTATTGAATGACTACATCTTTTCTTTATTGATTAATAATGAATACAAAGCATATATCTCTATTTATAGAGAAATTATATTGAGATAGAAAAGATAAATATCTTGAGAATCAAATCACCATATTGAGGGGACATGTTAAGAGATAAAATTCCACATCGAATAAATATGAAAACATAGACCAATTTATAAGAGTTTGGGCTACTCCTCTTAATAAGGTTGGCCTTTTAAGATGGAACCCCAATTTTTAACCGTTAGTTTAGCAGAATGGGCAATCCTAAACCATCAGAGGGGCACGTTTGATGCCATTATTGATCCACATATTAAGGGACGGATAACGTCGGACTGCTTTAAGAACTTTGCAGAAATAGCAATCAAATGTTTGTCAGATAATGGTGTTCATCGCCCTTCAATGGGCGCAATTTTGTGGAATCTCGAGTATTTCCTCCAGTTTCAAAATAATCCGGATGGTCCAAAATGAGTGGCTGAACAAAAGGCAAATGAAGCTTATAATATGCACACAACGTTACTAACCATCAAAGAGGAGGAGGATGAAGTGTGCGAGGGACAAGATGAACATAGTGCCAATGAAGTATTCTCACAGATAGTGAATCCACAAGGAAGATAGGTGCTTAGAAGTAAGTCGAACTTACTTTTAAACTACTCATAATTTTCAAAATACATTTTACCAACGAACTTCCTAAATGGGCTTGAATGCTATATTCAAAAGGAATTTTTAGCATTTTGATCTCTTATAGTGGAACCTTGATACACTAGGAATTCATTTGTCGCTATTTATACAATAATACTTTGTGGGTTTTCTTGTTTTGTGCTTGTCAAAGTTCTCCTTTATGCGTGTTCTTCAATTGCAAAAATTGCTAACGTTAGTTTGAAAAATATGTAATAAAGTAACTCATACCTTACACGATTAAAAATATTTTGAATCTGCATTGTTGTACTTTATAATTGCAAGACTTGGGAAAGTTGTGTGTTTTAGTTTCAACAAATTTGAGATTAGCTGCATGTTCTTTTTTTCTTTTTCTTTTTCATTTTTTGTTCTGCGCTTTTAGTTTTTTCTTTTTCTTTTTTCCTTTGTTTTTAAGAGATATTTATTCCCTATTTGGTCTAATTAAAAAAAGTTAATAAAAATTTAAGTCAAAATCAATAATTAATATTAATAATATATTTTATGGACCCATAATTTTTATCAATTTTTAAGTACACATTTTATTAGTTTTTATCAAAATTTACTAAAAAAATAATTTTATCTAACCAAACATAGACTTAACCCTTGTTTGACAATTATTATTTTTGAATTTATGTATATAATATTTTATTATATGAATATAATTAAAAATGAGTGCGCAAGGAAATAATTTTTAAAGAGAAGTGCTACATGTACATAAATCTATACATAATGATGTCCATAATTACACGTGTCACTGAATTCGACTATTAATTCAAATCTCACACTTTCACATCGACAAAATCGAGGTGAATCCCCTCCTATGTGAGTGATTGTCGACCGAGGTTTCAATTGTACGAATAACATTTTCCTTTTAAATAATGATGGTCAAACGGCGATTAATTTATATAATCAGTTGAGACTCGTTGGCCAGGGTGGAAAGATCGCTTATACGCCATCCATTATGCACCACCAACGAGACGGTTCCACGTGGCAGAGAAAATCTACTTTTTAGATAAAAACGTAAGCCACCCAAAAGTTAAGTGACTTGGCGAATTTCTGTCCACTGGCAGTTGCCTTTGAAATTACCTAAGACCCCTCCTTTGCAAGAATAAAACTAGTGTATTTTTTACCAATTTAGAAATAAAACATATTTGACCAAGTTAATTCTTTTTAATAATAAAGTAATTAATCTATTTTTGATTTTGACTATAAAAAAATTATCTATAATTTTATTTACCTGTAAATACATTTTTAAGCACCACATGTATTAAAAAAAATTAATACATATTTAATTTATTTGGACCCCAAAAACTTATGAAAGACGTTACTAGGATAAACGAAGGGTACATTGGTCATTTCTGTTGTGAAGCATACAGTATATCCGTTAAAACAGAAGCTGCTGGGGAGAGGAAGAGAGAGAAATGACTGTTTTTTCTTCTTCTTCTTCAAACTCCAAATTCACTCTATTTTCTCCTTCTCAAAATCCCAATTCCTCAAAATTTCACTTCATAATTTCCTTTAAGATCTCCCGTGCAACTCCCTCCCACCCTTTTTTAGCATATTCCCATGAATCATCATCGTTACCACCACTTCTTCAAGAAAAGCTACAAAATTCAGCAACTGAAAGTGAAATGGAAGAAAAAGAAAAACTTGCAGAGGAGATCATGATTGCCAAGAAGTCTTTAGAGGAGCTTCTTGTTGTGCGTAGGCCGGTAATGGAGTTTTCTGAAGAAGATGATGAAACAGCACCAGATGGTGATGGTGGAAGTGTTAATGACAAGAAACAGTTTGATTCGTCTTCGATGATTGATGCCGAGCTTTCAAAATTTGCAAAGAAGATGCCCATTTTTGAGCCGGAAAGAATGGATTCGAAGTCTGAAGAGAAGCCATTGATGGTGAATTTGGATTTGGCTTTGTATAAAGCAAAGATTTTGGCTCGGAATTATCGGTATGAAGAAGCTGAGATAATACTTCAGAAGGTAAATTTTATGCCAATTGTATTATATAGCGTTGTCTGATTTCTGTTATTGACTATGTGTAATTTCTTGTTATATGAAGTGTATATATTATTGGCCAGAAGACGGGAGGCCATATGTGGCTTTGGGGAAAAATTTGAGTAAACAGTCAAAGATGAATGAAGCTAGAGCTGTGTATGAAAAAGGTTGCCAAGCAACACAAGGAGAAAATCCCTACATTTGGCAGGTCAGTATTGTCGAAAACTACATACCTATGACCCTATCTGGTTTAGCAAAAATAAGATTTTTAGTAGATTTTGATTGAAGTTGGTGAAATGTTTGGCCGAAAAGTTGTGGACCCTAGGAAAATGACTTCTAGAGAATGGTGATCAGCCGAGGTGGTCAAAAGCATAACTGGACAAAAAAGGGGGGCCTAGGATTAAGTCTTGCGATTGTTTACTTATAAAAATTGTTAACTTGTAAAGATGAATTCATGCTTGAGGTAGCTTGTTGAATGCTGAATTTGAATTAAAA